TCCCCAGAGGCCTCCAGGGCCCCGACCAGTGCGAAAGACTCTATCCTCCTTCCTCTCCCTTTCCTCCCTCCCCTTCCGCCTGGGACGCACGGAGACATACTAGTACTGTATGTCCTCCTCGGAGGCGCGCGTCCGACCCGAACATATGGTATACCCATCTTGTAGTATATAGTTTCCCGAACGGTGTACGGTGTGGCCAGAAAGCGCCCGCTACGACGCATGTGCAATAAGACTTCTCGGTGCGCGCGTCGCCTCTGAGGGGGCGACGCACACATAGTATTGACATGTTGGGGTGACGCCGATCCTCCGTCCGTCCCCCTGAGCCCCGCCAGTCCACGGGCCTCCTTTCTCCTTCCTCCTTCCGCTCTTCCTTCCCCTTTCCGTTCCTTCCCCTCCTCCCTCCGAGAAGCGCAGGACAAGGAAGGGAAGGACCGCATCTCTGCCCGCTCCATTGACAGCCAAGGCTCTGAAGGGGCCGATCGCCCCCGAGGCCTCCTCTGCAACCAGCTTCCGTGAGCGGACCCCCCGCGCGCAAGCAGCCGCTGGGCTACCTAAGCTGTCGACTGCCATCGTCTGCCTTTCGCTGAATAATCCTCGAGACGAGCGCTAGCGGCAACGTGTGCTTGTCCACAGGAGCCCCCCAACACGATGCAGGCAGCGTGCTGCGGGCTGGCGCGGGCTGGCGCGGGCGGAGAGCTGTCGATGGAACTGAACGGGGTAAGCCAAAGATCCGGCGTCTTGATTTTTGCATCATTCCGGGCCCCCCCGAAGTTTGGACACCTTCCCCAGGGCCGGCTTCTCATCCCCAGTCGTTTTCTGACGGCCCCAAGGCCTGGCGAGGGCTCCCAGAGGCCGAAAACTGCGACAAGCCTACGTCGTCTTGGTCAACACGCGCCCTGCGCCCTGAGGATCATTGACCGCTCCCTTGGAGGCGGCCAGGGGATCTGAACTGGATGAGCCTCGAGAAAATCTTTCAAGAAAGAAGGAGAACGACAAATCCGCTCAAAATCGTTCCCTGGACCCCTCCCAAAATCCATTTGGTGAAGTGACCCCAAATCCGTTTTTGACGGTCCCGGCGCCCGAAAACGGCCTCCAGAGGCCAGAATAGGGCAAAACCCTGCGGGAACCCATGACCTCGAACCTATGCCCGCCCCCCCCCCTGCTCGCTGCAGAGCCAGCCCACGGTCCACCAAAGACCCCCAGCCAGCTCCAACCCAGGAGAGGAGGAGGAGGAGGAGAGAGGAGGAGGAGGAGGAGGAGGAGGAGGAGGAGGGGAGGAGGAGGAGGAGGGGAGGGGGAGGGGGACAAGCTAGGTGCGCTCGCGTCAACATCTGACATCCTACCCCTCCCTCCCATCCCTTCCCATTGAGCTACTTCATTGTCCTCTCACCGAATCGGGCTTCGCATCTGACCCTGTTACCTAAGAGGGAAAGGAGGAGGACGACGGCGCGATGAAAACGAAGACGACGACGACGAAGACGACGACGACGACGACAACCACGACGACGACGACGACGGCGGCGACGACGACGACGACGGTGAAAACAAACTCCCGGGAATCCTGTGCGGAAAAGGACGCCGCCCAAAATCAACGAATCGACACCGGATGTGTAATCACCTCCAATGTTTTTGCCGGGGATCATTTTCTAGATTTGGGGCTTCTTAAAAAGGATCGAAAACGTCGGCGCTGCAGCGGGAGCACGTTTTGGAACAACGAGAGGCGCAGAAATTGGGCCAGCGCTGCAGCGGGAGCACGATTCGGAACGAGCGGGAGCGCGGAAATGAGGCCAGCGCTGCAGCGGGAACACGATTCGGAAGGAGCGGGAGCCCGAAAATTAGGCCAGCGCCTCAGCGAGAGCAGCATTTTAGAAAAAAAAAAAACACAAGCGAAAACCCAACTCCGGGGAATCCTGTGTGTAAAAAAACAGTACGCGGGGGGGTGCCGAACATCTTCCGGACGCCATCAGGGGAAGTGGGAGAGTAGTATTCATATTGTGTAATTGTTGAGGAGGAGGAGGGAGGAGGAGGAGGAGGAGGAGGAGGAGGAGGAGGAGGAGGAGAAGGAGGAGGAGGAAGAGGAGGAAGAGGAGGAGGAGGGGAGGAGGAGGAGGAGGAGGAGGAGGAGGAGGAGGAGGGAGGGAGGGAGGGAGGGAGGGAGGGAAGGAGGGAGGGAGGGAGGGAGGGAGGAGGAGGAGGAGGAGGAGGAGGAGGAGGAGGAGGGAGGAGTAGCGAGGAGGAGGGAGGAGGAGGACTCCCCCCGGGCCCCCGCCCGGTGTCCCTCCTCGGCGGGCTCTGCGACGCGGCGGCGGGCTCCTCGCGGGCGCGTTTCGCGGCCCGAGAGGGCGGGGTGAGGCACGACAGGGCCCAGGGCGGGCTTGGCTGACAACCCACCAAATTCCCCCAACCCAACCCTGAGTCCCAAAGTTCGTTGGCGGCGCGCGCAAGGGGGTAGAGGGAGGGGGGAAGGCTTCTTAGAAGGAGGCTGCTATTTAGGAGGCGCTGGCCTTACATCTACAGATAGAGCCCCCGCCCTCTAAGAAGCAGGGGTGCTTCTAAGAAGCTCTCCCCCCTCCCCCCACCCCCCTCTGCGCGTGGCCGATTTCGGGCTGGGGGGGTAAGGGTTCCATCTGCGTTTTTTAAATGCTCCAGGACGCCCCCCCCACTGGGAACGGAGGGCAACTTGGGGCCTTCGGGTTGGGTTGTGGTGGTTTGGTGGGTGGGTAGTAATTGGCTGGGCCTGCTGTCGGGACCTTCTGTATAGCGTTAGGTCGGGCGTGTCCCCCTACAGGCGGATTTTCGATGAAAAGTTTAACATAGCAGAAAAAACAAATGGCCAAACATAGTCGAAACATCGTCCCCAGACTATATTTCAAAAACAACTATGTTTGAATATTTCTCCTGTGAAGGGACGTGCCCGACTTCAGGATAGCGTGTCGCAGCGACTGCCCTGGCGACACGCTAAACGCTATACGCCTTGCGCGTGGATAGCGTGCCGCTCCAGTCCGCGGGGCGGGCGGCTCGGAGAGGCTCGGGACTTTGACGCTGGGGGGACCGGGAAGTGGGCGACATGTCGCGTCGAAGCGTAGTGGGCCAAAACCAACGGAGCGATACGCTATCCAAAAATCCCCGACCGCGACCCAGCAAGGCGCAAACCGGGCCTAACCAGTCTCGAAAAACTGCGCTGATTTGTTTGCTGGGGTTCCCCCAACCTGGCTCAACCAATTCGACTCCTATTGGAAGCCGCTCGCGGCCCTGGAGGTGGAGGTGGCCTTTCATGATACATGAAAGGCCACCTCCAGGGCTGCGAGCAGCTCCCAAACCTGGCTCAGCCAAAATCCGAGATCGCAAGATCCTGTTGGATACGGCACTCTGGCTGAGCCCTGTTTGCGCTGAGCCACGTTAAGAATACCTGCCAACTGATGCTGGTGGTACATACGGATCCCGGTTCCAAGCTCCGCGACGCGCTGGGTCGCGCTGAGGGCGGCGTTCCCAGAAGGCGGAGGGCCTTGCCAGAGGAGCCCTGGCCCGCGTTTAGGAGGCCAGCAGCGAGGCTTCAACGACGGCAAGGTGGCCTCCCCGAAGACCCCCGCCACCCCCCCCACGGGTCCCTGCCCCATCCTGCGCGACGCACAGTCTTCAAGATCCCTGGGCCAGGGGCCTCCCACATGGGGTGCGAGCATCCGCGGATCGCGCCGCATCGCCGATACATCGCCGACGTCGGCGCGCAGAAAATTGGGCTCCACATCGAGCCTCAGCGCCGATGCGTCGGCGATGCGGCGCGGTCCTCCGACCCCATCTGCTCGAACCCCATTTGGGAGGCATGGCTGGGTCAACTCTGGCTCAAAATCGGTCCACGGGGCCTCCACGACCCTCGAAACCTGGGCAAAGGAGCCCTCCTCACCCTCCTCCTCCTCCTCCTCCTCCTCCTCCTCCTCCGTCCTCCCCATCCATCCGCCTCCTCCTCCTCAATGATCCCTCCTCCCATCCCCCTCTTCTCGCGTCCCTCCTCCTCCTCTCCCTTCACCCCCGTTCTCCCCCGCGCCCGCCGTCTCGCGCCGAAGCCGCTTTGGCCAAGGCCGCGATGCACCTGCGGGGCCTATCCCAGGCTCTGCCGCGACTGGCGTCTCGCACCTAGCCGGGCCACGGCCACGACGATCTGCCCAGCGCCAAACAACACTGTCAGAACAAACCCTCTCCTCCTAAGAGGCCTCCTAGATGGGGTCGGAGGATTGCACCGCATCGCCGACGCATCGCCGATGCATCGGCGATGCATCGGCGACGTCGGCGTGGAGAACATCGGGCTCTACATCGAGCCACATCGTCGATGCGGAGCGATGCCCCGACCCTGTCTACTCCAACCCCATCTAGGAGGCCTAGATCTCCGATGCTGCATTTTTTCGTGACAGCGGCCCCCAGAGATCTCGACCCTTTCCCCAGGGCCAGTCTATCCTCCTGGGTGTACCCACATGGAAAAACGTAAAGGGCAGAAGCTCCCACCCCTCAGAATAATAACCCCGACACGCGAAGCCGTTTAGCAAAGACACCCCAATAAGGAATCAAACAGGGCAGGGCTGTTTAGTAAACGCCCAAGGCCGTTCAATAAACGCCAATTCTCCGGTCCCGGTGGTTTTTCCTCCCTCGAAGACTGACCCCGGGGAACGGGTCGAGATCCTGCAGACGCCCTGGAACCTGGAAGCGGACCCCCGAGGCCACAGGCCAGGACAAGAGCAGCCGCCGTGACTTCTTGTTGGCGTCGCCCACAGCAGCCGAACCGACGCGAGTAACAACAAAAAGAGGCTCGCCGAGTGCTGGCTCCGAGCCCGTGGGAGCGCGCCTGGCGCCTCTGGGCTCGGGAGCGGCGAGACGGCCTGGTTCAGGAAGGGTGGCTTCGACGGCTGCAGGGGGCCCCGCGTCGAGATGGGGGGCCTCAGGTCATGCTGGGGGGGGGGGGGCCTCACGTCTGGCGAAGCCGACCTTGTCCAGCAAAACCTCCTGGCAGCCTCCGGCGGGCGTCGAGCGCGCGCGCGCGCGCGCTCCTCGGACGCGCCCGGCGCGGCCATGTCGAGCTCGTCGCCCTCCGGGATCAGCCTGGGAGAGGCGAGCGCGCGGCGCAAGTTTTCACGTGAAAGCTGCTGCTCACTGCTCCCTGGAGCCGAGACCCATCGAAGGTCGTTCGTGCTGTTCTGCTCGCGCCGTCTCGGCACGGTTGCTGCCCGGATCTGGTCCCGCTCGGCGTCGGGGTCGCCGCTCTGCCCGCCCAAGCTGCGTGAGCATGTCTGTGCGAGGGAGGGTGAGGAGAAGCGAGGAAGAGCGGCATCACCACCACCAGTGCGAGGAGCCAGGGGGGAGCCCTCCTGGTGGTATGGTCCCCCCGCCCCGCTCTCTGCATCCCCCATCCCAGCATCGCGGAGGCATCGCGGACCTCCTCGCTGGAGGTGGCACCCCTGGTGGTGGTGGCGTCGATGTTCTATCCTCTGGGTGAGGAGGGGAGCGAGAGAAAGTTGCAGGCAAGGGGGCAGGCCATCCTGGGGGCAGAGGTGTTTGCCTTTGGCGACCCTTTGCAAGAGCAAGAGAAGGATGCAGAGGGAGGCGGAGACAACAAACGGAGCACACTGTCGGTTTACACAGCCTCAAGAGTGGGGAGGGGGACAAGGAGGAGAGGGGGAGGATGAGGACTGGTACTCAATGAGGGCAAGGAGGCGTCTTCATGGCCGATGCTCTGCTCTCGAAGCCAACCTCGACGCCCACCTACATAACATTCCTAAGCGCTGGTCAGCCGGGGATTGTAAGTCATCCTGATATTATCTGTTGGGCGAACGCAGAGGAAGACAAGGCTCTGAAAAGCAGCACAGGCACGAAATAGAGAGAGAGAGACACCACATGATTGATCATCGACTTCGGATGGTGGTAGTGTGGGGGGGCTCATGCAGATGATTTAAATAAGTTGCGAGTGTGCCTGAACCCCAGCTGGCTGGGATCATCCCAGCAAGCTGCACAGTAGAAGTCTGCGAAAGTTTGGTGAGCACGGCAGACCTTCGGATCTTGCGCAGCATCTATGCCCTCGCGGGCCCAGGGGCACGTGACGGTATAATCTGCCGACTCGAACACAAAACAAGCGTGTTCCACTACTTGCAAATGGCATGGATCCATTGCGTCGAGGCAAACAGGCTCCATGTCATCGAATCACGCTCGTTGTTGATGACGTCTGCGAATAGGCACTGTGCGAGTATTGAAACGCGCTCGGTGAAACACGGCCTCGTGTATTCCTCCATCTGGAAGAGCAAGCCCGAACGCACAGAAACCACAAGCATCACGGACCGCGACATGAGCGACCCCTGCTGTGGCGCTGATCATTCTGGATGGGCGGCGTCAGCACGTGCACGAGGGTCACGACGCTGTGTGGCACGTCGGGGGAAAAATGCTTCCCACTGGTGCTGGTGTGGCATACGGCTGTCTGGTCGCGACATTGGCATCGGAATAATTCAACGCACCCAGGCGACACACCCTGATGAAAATGTGCTGTTCACAAATTGTTCGCCTCCACTGCGCCCAAGCCTCGTTCTGCACCGACGGGGACGACGCGTCAGTGTCGAATACGTTCAACTGTGCACGAGCATAACATGCTAAAAATGACGAAATCCCGCGCGATACGACCAAATGAAAAACTGGTTCAGCGGTCGGGTCGGTATCCACCCCACACTCGTTGTAGTGTTTTGTGCGTCAGTCAGCCGGTCTTTATGTACAGCGCTGCCACTCTGCAACATGTATCTTTTGCGGAAGCCCCGAATCGCCAAATTTGGCGTGTTCCAGAACACCTCCCTCCCCCCCAGCGAATCCATCTCTGGGGCAACATTGTTTTACTTCCGCCGGCCTTCCGCCGCCTTCCGCTAGCGGAGGCGGCCTCGTTTTACTTCCGCCGCCTCGCGCTGAGGAAGAGATGGCAACTCCTTCCATCCTCGAAGGCGACGCCCTTGCTGGAGCGCGCCAAGATGTGGGAATGACAACACTGCCCGCTTTCCTCCACAACGACGGCGTCGGAATGTCTGCGTATACCGTGGAACCTTGCCGCTGCAACAGGGGCTTCAGCCCCGACCGTTGCAGTGTCTGGTGCACTGGCGCGTTTGTGTCGACTAGCAGTTTCGTCCCGACTCGTTTGCTGACGCCCGTGGAGCCTAGAAGAGGCCCAGGGAGGTCGTTAACGGCGAGAATATGCAAGGGCCCATGCTTCCTCAGGACACCGTTTTCTTCATGCTGATTTACCCCTCCCCCCACCCTACCGTCGACTGGGATCTGGACCACCAGTTCGCGAGGTGCCAGGGGGTCTCTGTTAGTTAGCCTGGCACAGTTTCAAGATGCGCATCCCCCTGTCCCTCCCTCCACCTTCCCCTTCCTCCTCTCCTTCGTCCTCCTCCCCCTGCCCCACTCCTCCTCCTCCTCCTTTTCCTGCTCTCGCTCCTCCTCCCCCTCTACCCTCCCCTTCCATCCTCCTCCCTCTCCCCCCCCTCTCCGCCCCCTCCCACTCATCATACTCCCTGCTCCCTGCTCTCGCACGCCGCGAGCGGATGCGCGGGGGCAACTGCAACGCGTTGGCAACGACGACGGCGACCCGCAGATCTCTCCTAGACCGAGCTCCGACCAGAATCTCAAAGGCGCCCCCAGATGCCCTGAAACCCTCGACCCTTGACGCTGCATCCTCGAGCCTCTGAGAACGGCGACGACGTAGCCGACGAAGAGGACGTCGACGGAGGACTTCGACGGCGCAGACGTAAACGTAGACGTACACGACGATGACGACGACGCAGCCGTAGACGTAATTAGACGACATAGACGACAACGATGTAGACGACGACCACAAGGAAGACGCCGACGACGACGAACGCCGACGACAACGACGACGACGTAGACGAGGACGACGACCGCGACGACCCCAGACATCCTCCGACATAGTCTTTTCAATCTGGGGGCCCAGGGCTCCCGAACCCTTCCCTGGGGGCAGTTCTTCGTCCGAGATCAATTTCTGCTGGTCCTGGGGCCCGATAGCGCCCCCGGGGGGTCGAATTCGAGGAAAAAACACCCGGATGGGAAAACTCAGACCCGTGGAGATCCAGGGGCGACGAGGACCGCCCAGAACCACGACGTCTTGATCTGCTCGCAGCGTGACCCCTCAGAGGTCTGGCCCTCACTCCACTGGGTTAGTTTTTTCATCTGGAGTCATCTTTCGATGGTGCCAGGGCCCAGCGAGGGCCCCCAGAGGCCGAACAATATGAGAATCCCCATCCTCTTGATTTTGCAATACGTTGCAGGTCTGGCGACGACGACGACGACGACGACGGCGACGACGACGACGACGACGACGACAACGACGGTCGTTCTCTGCACGGCGCCTGGCCGAAGCTGGCGGCGTCCCCAACACGTCCGAGGCGGGCGGACTCTGCTTGAGGGACCCCGACAGGCCGTGAGCGAGGCCCGAGGAGGAGCCGATGACGCGGCAGCCCCTCGGGAAGGAGGGGGGGCAAAAGCAGGGAACATGCTGGAGGTTCGCCCCAAACCTCCTGTGGTGCTGGGCCCCCAGTTTGAATCAGCAACGCACCTCGTCACTCACTCCCTCCCCTTCCCTCCTCCCTCCTCCCATCCCTGCCTCTGCTTTTAGCACCCCACCCCTAACAGTTGCCGTCTATGACCAACATGCTCCCCCGGCCCGTCTGGACCAATTGCCACCCCTCAACCGGGGCGCATGCGATGTTTCTTCTACGGTTGCGGCAGCACCCGACCTAGCGGGGTCTGCGAGCACAAAGCCCGGGACTGGGTGGTCGGGAACGCTTCGCAACTCGCCGGCTTTAGCTGAAACGGCCACAACTGGCGAAGACTACCGAAACGCCATCCTGAGCCCTCTCCCCGCCCGGGTCAGAGTTGAGAAAGTGTTACACGCGTTTCGTGGCCTCGTATGTAGAGGACGACCGAAGGCCCCAGCGGCAGGGCCCGCACGGTGAATCTGGCCCAATGCGGCACACCCCTCACACGCTTCGTGGCTCCAGAAGGGGGCTCCACCAAAGGCCCCAATGGCAAGGTCCGCGTGGCGCACCCGCCCTAAATTCGGCATACCCCTACCAGGTTCCGTGACCTTATGGGGAGCCCCACCGAACGCCCCAGTGACAGGGTCCACCTGGCGCAACCGCCCCACATTTGGCATGCCCCTCACACGCTTCGTGGCCTCATAGAGGGCTCACAGTAAGCTCCCCTTCCTTCGACATACCTGCACCAGGGTACTCATACCTGCATCTGGTCGGGACCCTCACCAAGAAACTCTATTCGGCCTCGGCCTGCAATCAGGCACCTCCGAACCAGGGCATTGCTGACAAGGCATTTGAGGATTCCACTTGCAGAGAAAGACGGGGGTGCCGCCTCCGTCTAGTTTGTGTTCTGCCCGGCAATTGAATGCCATGGACGCGTCCATGTCGCGGCCAGAGTTTGCCAGGCATGGGCCAGGCGGGGATGGGGCGCCGGCGCGTGGCTTTGCGTAAAGCCCGGACGGCGCGCCAGAAATCGGTTGCCCCCCCTCCGCCCCCCGTTTCCTCCTCCTCCTCCTCCTGCTCCTCCTCCTCCTCCTCATCCTCCTCCTCCTGTTTCTCTGTATGGCTCGCGCAGCGCCGCCCCAGCGGGTGCCACACGGGCGGCGCGGCAGGGGCGCAGCGGCGATGGCCTGGCTCTGGCTGCTCTCGCTGGTGGGACCCCGTGCCCGACATGCGGTTGCCGCAAGAACGAGGCGTGGTGGCGGTTCTGTAAGCACTGCAAGGGCGAGATCGTGCCGTCCCAGGCTCCTCCTCGCCGCCCTCGCTCTGCTGAACGGCGTGCTGGCATGCAGCGTGCGCCATGGCAGGAGGACGGTGCCGCAGCACGGCGCGACAGCCTGCAGCGTGGCCCAGGCAGCAGAGCTGACACGACAAGAGGAAGGCCACGCGAAGGTTCCAGGGTGCGCTTTGCCCTGGCCAACGTGGAGGAGCTGCCCAGCGGGAGCGACGCCGACCCCGAGGTTGCCAAGCTGGTGCAGCTCATCAGCCTGCTGGAGCTCAGCCAGGACGAGTGCGGTGTGCGGAAGTACCAGCAGCAGCTCGACGACCTCCGCAGCGCTCGTCGGGCGCGGCCTATGTCGGTCGACGAGGCGATGGCAGCGGCACTGGACAAGGCCGTCAAGCAGGCTGAATCGCTCCAGATCCAGATGGACACCGCCAAGGCGATGGTGACCTCCCGCTCCGCCCAGTATGATGCAGCTCTGGCGGCTTACACTACTGCAGTGCAGGCCCTGGCGCAACAGGTGGCTGGCGCAGCACCGCCGACGGCTGGTGAGGCACAGTCGGGGCGGCTGTCCATCGCCAAGTTGCTCCAGGGCGACAACGTGGAGCTCGACGACGAAGGACTCTTCGGGTTGGAGGCCCTCGAGGACTACGAGGTCCAGGAGTCCGACCGCGAGGAGGCCGCCAGGAGGAAGGCCGACCTCCAGGCCAAGTTCAAGGCCATGGCGCAGGAGGCCTTCGGCAAGTTCGCCTCCGAGGCCCGCGAGCTCGAGCGGCAGCACGCGGAGCTCAAGGACCGCCTCCAGAAGAAGCGCAAGACTGCTGATGCAGCGGAGGAGGGGGCGACTGTCCAAGCGACGAAGGCGAGCGCCACGGCAGCCCCCGAGGCTGGCGCGCCTGCAGCCCCTGCTGGCGGCGCCGCCGCCCCATGGGCGAGCAACGACATATGTACATGTACGCCCTCCGCGGTTTGGTCTGCACGAACGTCCGCGTTGACACGCACTCCAGAGGAAGCTAACCGCGTACGTGTACATATGTTGCTGGCCTCTGACCCCAGGTGGGCCCTCGGCCGAGGCCAGCAACGACGTGGTGGAGGCGGCGCGCGCGCGGCTGGCAGCCGCTGCCAAAGGCGCTGGCCGTGGTGCTGGCAGCAGCGGCGGGACCGCTGCCCCTCCACGGACGTCCGTTTGACGGCCCTGCAGCGGGGCACCTACACCACCGGCCACTACAAGTTCATGAAGATGACGCCTCCCCAGCTCCTGTGGGCGATACACCTCCGAGGAGGTGCCGCGACTGGTCTGGCAACTACTACGTGGGGCACTGCGCTGATCAGCAGTGGACTTTCTCCTTTCCTGCCTACACTCCTGCATGGGGGCCTGGTTTAGTCTCGGGAGACTACTTCTACCAGGACAGCGAGAGTGACGGCAACAATTTTCACTTCTACAGGTACTGCGGCCAAGGCGGACCGACGTACGATGACTGGCAGGGCGAGGCTGGCCTCTACATCTGCGTTGAGAAGGACATGGGCCCAGGGAGGCAGCGTGCTCCTGATCTCCAGCGAGACCTCGCACGTGCTGACCTCGAGTGTAGCGACCCTGGCGATTCGGGTGGCTCCACGACGGCGAGCTCCGACGGTGCGGCGAAGATCGCTATACGGCGATGCAGCACTACTGCGACGCGGCGGGCACGCGCTCTGGGTCGTCGGCGTCGGCGGGGACTTCGCGCTGGAGCAGCCCGTCCTCATGCTGGGCACGCTGCGCCACATAATGGAACTTGTTCGGATATCAGATGCAAGCCACAAGCCATCGCATACTCCGAGTGCCGACCCCTTGGGTTTCTCGGGTCTCGGAACGCTGACCCCTCCGTCTCCCAGAGGGCTGTCGCGGTCGGCGAGCCTTCCGCGTCGGTCCAGCTGGACCATATCGGCCCTAGCTCGGCTAGAGAGAGCGACGGTGAGGTGGGCCCTGGGGGGGCTGTGTCGCCCAAGGTCTCGGCGAGACCGATGCGTCGACATCGGGGCAGAGCCTGCAAGATCATGACCGTCAACGTCACGGGCTGGGGCTCCCTCCTTACGCAGCTGGAGGAGAAGCGCATCCCCGATGACGTGCAGGCTGTGCTCATTCATGAGCACCACCTGGAGGAGGCCAGGCTCGAGGCGGCGATGAAGGCTGCCAAGGCGCATGGTTGGAATGCGGACCTGTACCCCGCTCGTCGCACTGGCAGCGGCGACGGCGCCACGGGAGGAGTCGGGCTCCTTGTTAGGCCCCACGTTGCCTTTCGGCGCCTGCAGTTCAACCGCGACGGGATCCACGCGCCTGGCACGGCGCGCCGGGGGTTCTGGACCACAGACCTGGGGCCCAAGGAGGGGCTGGTGCTTGCTGGCCTTTACCTGCACACCAGCAAGGACCTAGAGGGCGTCAACCTCGACCTCCTGTTCCAGATCGGCAGCGTGCTCCATGCAGCCGATAGGCCCTACGTGCTTGGATGAGATTGGCAGAACTTACCTGAGTCCCTCAACTGCCTGCGGTGGCCCAAGGCGGTGAAGGGGGAGATTGTCGCGCCCAACCAAGCCACGTGCTACACCGCCAACAGCGCCAGGGTCATTGACTACTTCTTGGTTCGGCAAGATCTGCATGGCTGTAGAGCCCGCACCGTTGATGGACTATCCGTTACCCCGCACAAGGGCGTCATCTTGGAGCTTAATGTCCAACGCGTCCCGCTCGTGGTGCGCAAAGCCCATATGGCCAAGGCTTTTCCGTCGAGGCAGCTTGTGGGGCCGCAGTTACCTGGGCCTGACTGGCAGGCGGTGCCGGACACGGCGGCGGCAGTCGACACGACGAGTGAGCTGGATGAGGCGTTCTGTGGATGGCTGGGGCGCTATGAGGACGAGCTGATTCACCACTTCGGCTGCGAGCAGCCCGAGCGCTACCGTGGACGCTCCGACGGCATTCGCCTGGCGTACTCGACCCTGCAGATGCACTGCCGCGGTCAGGCGAAAGGGCGCGGCGCAGCTGACCCGAGCGAAGGGCGCTGGCAGTGGCTGGCCCAGCGGCTACGCGAATGGAGATGGCGGCGTGCAGCGGTCCACTCCAAACCCAGCCGCGACTATCAGCAACGACTGTGGCGCCTACAGCTACGTATCCTGAAGTATGCCCTCCCACAGCCCACACGCTGGCCTGAGATGTGGGAGGCCTGGCGATCTCTGGTGCGACGACTGGACCGTCTGAGCGAGGATGACCTTGACCACTTGATGCACGACTTGGAGAAGTGCGCTGATCGTGCGGCTAGCCAAGCCTCATATCGGCGCTACAAGGCGTGGGTGGACTGGTCCCACGACTCCACCGCCGACGGCGGCATGCGGCGCGCCTTCAAGTGGATCAAGCAGGATGCCCCGTGGGCGTACACCAACTCTACGGCAGGGCCAGGCGTTGCTAAGTCTATCGCGGACGATGCACGTGATGCAGTTCAACCCTGGCACGACCTATGGGGACAAGGTGAGGGCATCGGAGCAGTGCGGTGGCCTGACGACATCGGCGGGATCGAGCTGCCGACGATCGACGACCTTCGGAAGACGGCGCACACCTTCAAGTCAGACACTGGGCTAGGCTGTGACGTTGTTCACCCTCGCCACATGATTTTTCTCAGCGATGAGGCACTCCAGGCATTGCTGACGCTATGGAGTTCGATGCTGCAGCTTGGCCACG